ATTTTTATTTTTTCTCGTTCGTTCCTTTTTTTATTTTCCTTTTTCTTTCTTTTTCTCTTTACTACTCTTCTACGGCTTCCTTAGTTTCTCATCAGTTTATAGCAGATACTTTGGTAAGGAAAAACGATAAACAACGCGGTACTCCTGTAATATCGTGGCAATGTTTATCATTGTCTAAGGACGCCTACAAGAACGACGTTATAAAGCTCACTAATATAAAGGACGATTAATAAACATCAGAAAAACGAGTATGACGGTTTACATATAGTCAAAGTTTATTTACAGTTAGATATAGATATAACTATTATATTTATTTTTATTCGTCTTTAAATTGACAGAAACATAACTATAGTTGTTAAATAATTTATGTCGATCGATAATATCACATTTTTCTTTTCGACGATTAAACTATAATACTTTTAACCCTCTATGGGCCGAATTTTTGTTTTAAATCCAAAAAAAAAATTGAGGGAACGAAAAATCAGCAATTATAAACCTATATATGCAAATGAAAAAAAAAATAAAAAAATTTTTCTTTTTTTTTTTTTTTTTTTTTTTTTGTTTTTTTTCAGGTTGATGAGCCTAGCAACGGTCATAAATATTATATTGGTTGTCTTGACAACGTTATAGAATTAAGATTTATGCGCAACCTCATGAAAAAAGCTATAATTATTTGGTAAAAGCTCGATAAATTAAAATGTGACCTGAAAGTTACACATAGAGGGTTAATTGTTTTTGTTTATTTTTTTATCTTTATTTTTTTTATTTTACATTTCAAGTATCTCTTTTAATCTTATGTATTATCAAAAAGGAAAAAAAAAGTAAGGGGAAAACAAAGCTTAAACTTTGAAAAATTAAAAAAAAAAAAAAAAATATCCTTGTAATTTGTTCAATAATTACATGTCGAAATTGAGATACGATGAAAGTATGAAAATATAATATAATTTTTTTGATATTTATATATTATTATATTTTCTTTTGTTTATACGTAGATGCATATATACGTGTATCGTAAATGCACATTTTTATTTATACGAATTTTGCGCGTCTCATTTATCAATCTAAAAGCCCGAATTTATTTGACCTCGACAAAATTTGAAATATCGAAACGCGATGAAAGAATGAGAATAAATGATTTTTCATTTATGGTAATATAAATTTTTATATATATACATACATATAAATATATGTACATATTTTTTTTTTATTTATATGTGCACGTAGGTGCACATATACATGAACCGTAAATGTACATTTTTATTTATATGAATTTTGCATGTTTCATTTATCAACCATAAATCCGAATTTATGTGACCTCGACAAAATTCGAATATCGAGAAGCATCGAAACGTGATAAGAAAAAATTTTATAATTTTGACAGATCATAACAGTATTAATTTCGTAAGTGTTTTTTTTTTCTTTTTTTTTTTTTTTTTTTTTTTTTTTTATATACATAATATAAATTCGTACACATATGTATATTTTATTATATTTGTATATAATAAAATTTCTTATAGATAAAAAAATTTTACGTCACGTCGAAAGACGTATTTATCGAGTATTTATCTTTCGATCGAATAAACAAATCTTTGATCGTCACGTACTCTATTTTAAATTATTCGTGATAATTTTTCTTAGTAGGGATAAGTTTGCAGAAGATCGATCGGCAAGTTTGTGAGATAAAACGTTTTTTAATATTAACCGTTTCTTCAAAATGATGGATAATAATTTGATAAGAAAAATTTTTCAATGAGATGCAACGAATTCAAAATGAGATCGAAATGTTTCCTCACGAGTAACAAACAGGAAGAAAAAAATGTATGTATATACGTAAAATAATACACGAGGATAAAGTTTCTATCAAAGAAAAATTCGATAAAAATTTTAATCAAATTGTTAATTCGATTTTTTTTCTTTTTTTTTTTTCTATGAATCCATAGAGAGATCATTTAACCCTTATTTCTTATCGATGAACGACGAACATACGAATCGATGTTTAATGTTAGATAAAATATATTTACTGACACGATCGATACGTCTTTCAATTTGTCAGGGAAATGTTTGATCGCGTTAAATGTCGATAACTCGATTTTTACGGCTTATGGAAATATTCAACATACATTGAACGTGATTGACGAAAGGATGATAAAATCGATAGCCTTTTAGCACGGAATAAGCTCTTAATCGGATATTATCAGGAACAATTTCTTTTTTCTTTCTTTTCTTTATTTTTTCTTTTCTTTTTTTTTTGTCCTTTAAATTGCTACGATGATCGTTAATTTTTTTTATGTTCCATCTTCTTGACAAAAAAAAAGAAGAAAAAAAACACAAGACAAAACAAACGCAACATTCTTCGATAAATATCTACAAAATTTATATTATATATATATATATAATTTATTATTTAATTTCATTAATAAATTTATATACATGTATATAGATTATTTAATACGGTTATATATTAAAACGTTAAATTAATTCTTCCCCATAAATAAGATTTTGATAAAGCTTCAATAACGAAAACACAATCTAATATACGATAGAGAATCTTAATCGTTTTGACGAGATAAAAAGAAATAAAAAAGAAAACTAAGGAAGAAAAAAGGAAAATAAAATAAAAAAAAAAAAAAAAGAAAAAGAAAAAAAAAAAAGAAACTATGGTTAATGAGTCGGTATCGAGAAAATATTTGTCAACGAATGTCCAAGCATTGATGCATTATTAGTACGATTTCCATTTATAATTATCGTAAAACTTGATCGGAGTATTAATTTCGTATTGATTTATGAAAGTATTAACGTTGATTTCACCATTGAAAATATATGTCAACGTAATTTCGATAGTGATTCACAATATTTGATATTCATGAGAGAACTCGAGAAAATATACCGAATGAAGTTGTCGGTGAAAAATGAACTATATTGGTCAGACGTAGCAACACTTGATAGAGTCGATGATTGGTCAGACACGTTCTCGACATAGAGTAGTCAGGTTGGATCACTCGAAAGAATAGAAAAATCGAAAAATAGTAAAACTCCGAGCGAAGACAATGGAAGACCATTTTCTTTTTGACGTTCTCTTTCTCTTTCATTTTTTTATTTTATATATATATATATATATATATATATATATATATATATATATATATATATAAACAACGCAATCTTCTTAATAGAAAAAAAAGAGAGAGAGAGAGAGAGTAAAATATTTAAGCCTCGTTTTAATAATTTAAATCGAACCTATCGATTGATCATATTGTCAATTAAATTTAGAAATTTTATCGTTATAATCGTAATTATATCGATCCATTTAATTTATTTTATTTTAACAAAAAGAAGAAACAGAAATTAATTATAAAGATTATTAATTGTTAAATAGCATACTGTTTGCTTTATATTATTATTATCATTATTATAATTGAACGATCGTCGTTTGCGTTATCGAAGGAAATATTTTATTTAACGTTACCCGATTTTATGGACAATTAATTCGAGAGAAAATTTTAATCATCGATGGTTTTTATGGTTCGACTGAAAAGACCATAACAAATGAACGCGTTAAAATTCATACGGCTAACATATTTTGACGAAAATATTCATTAATACGAATTTACACGATATTTAGTTTACGAATATTTTTACGAATATACAACGATATTTAGTTTACATAACTACAATATTTAGGAAAGCTTTTCGAACGGGTAATTTATGTTTTTTTTTTATTATCTTTTTTTCTTTTTTCTTTTTTCTTTTTTTTTTCTTTTTTTTTCTTTCTTTCCTTCTATCTCGTTACCCATCAATAATTTTTTCCCAGTGAAATTTGAAATTCTTTTTCACGGACGAAAAAAGAAAAAAATCAAAAAAGAAAGAAAGAAAAAAAAATACGAACAAAAAAGATAAAAAGCAAGAGAGAGAGAGAGAGAGAGAGAGAGAGAGAGAGAAAGAGAGAGAGAGAAACTCGTGCATAAATCTATTGCTCCAAAATTCGTTACATTTACACGCAATAGATATTCGAGTATCATCGATTTAAAACTGAAATTGATTTCCGGTCGGATGACCGATATCATATAAAATATGATCAAACATAACTATATATATATATATATATATATATATATATATATATATATATATACATACATATATATATGTATATAATATAGATATATATATTCTTGAAAAAGTAAGTAAAAAAATATTGCAGTAATTACAAAAGGCGTAAATTTCATTTTGATTTTCTAACGTTTCTAACGTTTAGTACAAAACTAACGAAGTCGCACAACCACTCGTCGCACAAAGTATCATCCCTTTTCTCCGAGAACGAATGTATGTTACTACTTAATGGTTTCTTTCGGTCGCAAATAAAATAAATTTAAAGAAAGAGAAGAGAAGAAAAGATAAAAAAAAAAACAAAAAAAAAACAAACAAACAAATAAGAGAAAGAAAGGAAACATGAAACGGATTAAAAGTGCGAGACAATTTTCCCGCCTTTTATTACAATATTATTCGTACGCGAGTTGTAAGTAAGTATTACACTTATTTTCATTGAAATAAGAGAGAAAAAGGAGGAATAGTAGTTAGAACAAAAAAAAAAAAAAAGGAGAAAGAAAGAAAGAAAAAGAAAAATATGAAAAGAAAAAGAAAAGAAAGAAAGGATAAGAAAGAAAAAGAAAGAGAGATATCAAGGAAACGGAGGAGAGAGAATAGATATACGAGTGAGTGAGAAACCGAGCTTGTAGTTTTCTTTTTCTTTTTCTTTTTTTTTTTTTTCTTTTTTCTTTTTCTTTTTTTGTACAAATTTCTTTGTATTCATCTCAGCTTTCCGCATAAGAATAAAAATACGCGACATTCGAACACAAAGCGTATAAATACATTCGAACGAGAGAGGAGGGCTCAAAAAAAGAAACTCGAAGAACAAAAAAAAAAAAAAGAAAAAAAAAAAGAAAAATAGAGAAAAAGAAAAAGATAAAACATCGACAAAAGTTTACAAAGGTAATACGTACTTGTTTATCCGGTTCTTTGCCTTTAGCGGTGATAAGACGATCGCAATAGCAGCCCTCTAGCAAAACGACACCGCTTGGCCGTGAGCAGGTATCGTTTTCGTAATAGAATAGTAGATTCTGAAATAGGAAGTATCAGCCAACGTTAGATTGATATTCTCGTCAGATTATTAGAAAAAATACAATGGTACGAAATAAATGTGATAATACTAAATTCATTATTATTTTTTTTCTTCTCTTTTTTCTTTGTTCCTTTTTCTTTTTATTTATTTTTCACTCTTTATCCAATATAGATTCACGTCGATCGATTTGTTTTACTTTTTATTGTCTTTTTCTTTTCTTTTTTCTTTTTCTTTTCTTTTCTTTTTATCCTAAATTATACGTACGATGACAAATAGGCCGGAGGAGAAATGTTTGGATTGTTCATGGATTAGAAATAATAAAAAAAAAAAAGAGAGAATCATAGCGATGCATAAAATAAATATTGTTTTAACGATCGATTTATTATCGTATTGAATTTGCGCATAAACACATAAACACATAAACACATTCACTATTCATTTATATTTTTCTTATAGTCTGTAGTAATCGTTAAAAAAGTTATAGAATATCGAAATCTCTGTATTTGTCTATCTCTTTCATTCTCATTCTAAATGATAACTCTCACCTGATACAAGACGAACCATCGTAATTGCCACTTGGCAGAATCAGCGGTCCGTTTGTGTAAATATCCGTTCAACGAATTATCGTAATGGGCTCTCTCCGAGAGCATCACTAGCTGAGAGTCGTTTACCCTCACTGAAACATACAAGAAAACGTAATATATTGTTAGAGTTTATCTAAATCATCATTGTTAAGTTCTAAACAGTGATACCAATGAA